TACAATCCAAACAAGGAATGTTTGTTAGTTCTAAAAACATTTTAATACATATATATATAGAGAGAGAGAGAGAGAGAGAGAGAGATTCATTTTAGAAGTCAATAGCTCTCAGAATCAATGTAATTTCAGGTATAGATTAGCCTACTAAATTGTGTGGTTCCGAGTCTGGGACAGTTTGTTTATTTCACGTCTTAATTAAAAGACAAAGCATGCCAAAATTACGTGAAATGTACAAATAAGGAGATTGGATCATAAGGATCATGCAACTGTGCTGCATTTCAGTCATTTGACCAGCAGATGGCGAAAACGGAACAAAAGTATGTAATTTGATGATACAAAAATAAAGAAAAAAATCCCCTGGTAGACTTGAACGTAACTCCACCGTTTCTGTGAAGCTGTTCACGTGAGATACATGATGTGAGATACCAGGTGTGCATCCATATGCACCACTTCCATGTTATTTTAAGGGAAAAGTCTTTAGGAATAGTTTTGAAAACGTTAAAAACGTTATAAAATATTTTTAAAAGATTAGAATTATTCTAAAGGTGTAACACAAAGCACGTGCTATTCCTAATGTAAAAAGTAAACGTAAAGAAAAGGTTTTCTTATTGAAGCCATACTTAACATAAAAATACAGTTGCAAGCTTGTTCGTACAGTGCTGATGGTGACATTCAGAGGAGGGTCATTTTCTCTTGTGTATGTCACTGGGCATATGTTTATGCACTGCCCCACGCGACATGATGACAATCCAGACCACAGCATACTGCCAGTAAGGATGCGATCTCTCGTCCTTTGCATCTCGTTTGCACTCCAGTGCTTCGTTCTCCAAAGCGCATCCGAGTATTCTTCCAAATCCGAGCTGGAATACGAATTCGGTGACTACCGTGGCAAATTCTGTATGGACGACCAAGGTTTTGTTTATAGCATCGGAGAGGTTTATTATCCGAGCTCCACAGCGTGTCCCTGCACCTGCACAGAGGATGGACCCGTGTGTGTCAGACCCAAGTGCCCGCGTATACACCCGAGATGCACTCGCATCACATACAAGTCCTGCTGCCCCGTGTGTGAAGCGGTCAGTAAAGTTTGTGTGTACGAGGGCAAAACTTACAGAATGCTGGAGGAATTTAGGGTAAGTCAATACATTTATAAAATACATTGCACTATATTGCTCTGCATGGACATTCTAATGATGATTATAATATTTCGTTTTGATTCGTTTTTTTACTAACGTTCTTAGGTTTATTACAACAATGCAGAAATTGCAATATGTAATGATGACCTTTTGCATTGTTTGGTTTGTTTTATCACAACACTGCTCACTTTTTAGGAAATTAAAAGATTCGAATTGGGACATCATAAAAATTACATTATAATTATCTAATATCTGTGTTTTGTTTAAGTCTAGTCAAAGAACTAATGTTTGTGGGATAAAAACTTACATTTGTCAGACACTTTTACTTAAAGTTCTAGAGTATGGAACAAAACAGGCTACACTCTCAGAAAAAAAGGCTACAAAGCAGTCACTGGTGCAATATCCTAAAGGTTCATCTTCTTTACCCCTAAATTGTATATGTTAGTACTTATACATTAAAATACCCAGTAAACGTTTTGTATCTAGTAAAAGTTTTTTTTCTGAGTGTACACAACTGAAAAAAAATGTTTTTTTAAGTATAAAGAAATTATTTTAGATTAATCCATTCATAGCTGTTGATCTAAGATTGGTTGCAATCACCTGTCTCTGACAATCTGACAATATATGGGATTTCCCTGGCCTATCAATCAATATGTCCTCAGTGAATTTAGATTGTATAATCCTGAGTGAATCTTTGTTCCTGTTTTAAACAGCTGTCACCCTGTGAGCGCTGCCGGTGTGAAGTCAACAGAGAAGTTTACTGTACCATATCCGGCTGCCCTGCCTTACATTGTGTGAATCCTGTATACGAACCCAACCATTGCTGTCCTGTGTGCAAAAATGGTGAGAGTTTTTCCACATGCAACACCTCACGTGCATGTCTGTTCCGTCCAACGTCATTAACACTATAATGCAATGTTTTAACAAACACCTGCATCTGCATCACATGCATCTGTCAAGACCTGTTTGTGTTCTGTTTTGAGGATCAATAATGAAGTTTCATTGATGATGTGTGGAGCCCTCACCTCTTGTTTTTGATTGATTTCTTCTTGATTACTGCATAGTTCATGGTGATGTCATGGAAAAATAATGATGCAATGGAATTGTTCAATGGATTGCTTACTACCATGCCGTCTATAAATAGGAACTAGTCCACGGCATGCTGGGATGGTGCAGGCACTATGGGGCATTGGGCCATCCCTGACAACAGAAGGCATGAGGTGGACAGATTGCGTTTGATAGTTTGTGTATGTAATGTTCATATAGAATCTGGCAAGTAATATGTACAGATTTCAAAACAAAAGATGCTGTATATACGAAATAAGTAAGGCATTTGTGTGTGTATATACCTGGCAATTTCTATTTGAGATCAATCATTCAATAGACAATAGTGGTTAAGGGGATAGTTCACCCAAAAACGAAAATGCTGTCATAATTTAGTCACCCTCATGTTGTTCCAAACCTGCATGACTTTATTTATTCTGGAGAACACAAAAGAAGATATTTGTTTTGGACTCCACTGACTTGTCTTATTTTGGGTTCCACTGAACATATAAAAGTCATACAGGTTTGGGATGACCTTAGGGTGAGTAAATGATGACAGAATTTTCATTTTTGGGTGAACTTTTCCTATAAGAGAAGCTCTAATTCTAACCAAATGCTCTTCATGTCTCTTTTTCATAGGGCCAAACTGCTTTGCTGGAAATCGCGTGATCTCGGCAGGAGAACGTGTTGAGATTGATGAGCGGACGGTGTGTTTCTGCACTTACCGGGACGGAATGTGGCAGATGCACCCTCACGCTACCTGTGAGGAGCGCCAACGAGCAGACAATGAAGCCACTGACTCCGACAACACATCCAAACAGATGGAGGATCAGGAGATGGAGAAAGAGAAAGAGAAAGAGAAAGAGAGAGTGTTCTCGCCCAGGTTGGATGCCATCCCGTGAAGCGAAGTGTGCCTGGCACCAGCTCTCCTGACAGGCAGGAGGGGATGCAGAGCACCATGCAGGTGTCTGTGCCCAGGGTAAACACAACCTGCGCTGGGGTAACTGCCAATGCTGACCTCTTTAGCCAACCTCACCACCCCCTCCCATCCTGACCCAGATCGGCAACCCACTGACAAGCAACATGCACTAATAAAATGTTACATTATTATACATGGCACACTTGTTGTTCACAAATTAGGGGTCAGTAAGTTTTAAAATAAATACGTTTATGCAGCAAGGTCACATTAAATTGATCAAAAGTGACATTGACAATGTTACAAAAAAAAATTCCATTTCAAATAAATGCTGTCCTTTTGAACTTTTTATTCATCTAGGAATCCTGAAAATGTATCACGGTTTCTTGCGCACCAAATCAGCACATTAGAATGATTTCTGAAGTCACACTGAAGACTGGAGTAATGATGCTGAAAATTCAGCTTGGCCATTACAGGAATAAATTACATTTAAAATATGTTCAAATAAAAAGCAGTTATTTTAAATTGCAATAATATTTCACAGTGTCACTATATTTGTGATCAAATAAATGCAGCCTTGGTGAGACGTACTTAAAACATTTTAAAAATCTTACCGACTCCAAACTTTTGAATGGTATGTGTATGTGTAAATATGTTACTGTATATTACTGTATATCATGTTGTCTACTTCTTACTAAGAAGCAGTTATGCAGCATTATATTGAAATATGGAGCATTGTATTAAAAAAATGATTTCCCATTTTTCCATCTCATTTTTGTAGCATGTTGTGTTAATGGGAACATTACACACTTTTGAAGTCTTGAATATTGTTTGATGTTTAAATGATTTATTCCATGTCCAATATGACACGTTAATTAACTTCAATGTTCATTCCAACAGATACATTTACAAAATATCATAATGTATTAGATATAACCAGTAAAATAATGTTCTCCATAAAGACGATTAACATTCTTGTTTAGATAGGAAGTGGAGCATGCAATAAGAAACATATTTTCAAAGGGCTGGTCAAATGGAAACATATCATTTACGTATTAAAATCATCTCAGGTTTGAGTATTTTCTCCTTGTCTTGTTATTTAAAAATCTGAATCATTGCATATTTTATGTTTTGCTGATTTGAACAATTTCAGTGAACACTTGAACACAGCTGATTTACAAAATGCACGTAAATATAATGGCAACACTGTCTTTATGAATTACAAACATGGAAACAATTGTATTTAAATTGTGACAATGTAATGTCATCTGCAACTGTCTGTGAGTGAAGATTCTAAATCGTTCATTTCAATCAAACATATTTAATGTATATTTAAAATATAGTGGGGGTTGAACATTATTTATTTTTTTCCAATTTAGTAAACTTTTTATTCACAGATTATATTATGCATGTATGTCTTTTAGTATTTGGTCTGTCGCTCTGATGGGAGCCTCATGAACTCCACAAGTTTCCAAACCTGATGATCGTTGCCAGTGTGTCAGACGTACACGTCACTGTATATCTGCAATGTATTTGCTTTATTTGGATCATACGTTTGGAACTATAATTCTATTATTATGGCTAAAAGTCACAACGAAACTGCATTAGCAAAGCATACATACGGCTCACTAGGTGGCGATGTAGGGATGTTGGCTTTGAAGTGCGCGCCGGATGCTGTGAGAGCTGTGGCACGCGCACGATTATATCCCAGCATTCCTTTCGCTCTCTCCCTCTTTCCATTTCGGCGACAATGTCTAAGAGAGGTAAGAAATGCATATGAAAATCCACAATCATCCTTAAAATGAGACACACTGAAGCCCCATAAAGGAATAAACGGGTTTAATTGATCATAGACAACTTATATTTTCGATATATTGACGCTGGTTGTCAAGTACATCTTGGATAAAACTACTTTATAGAGCATTTGCCGCTAGCGAGAGCAGCCATGTTTGCTAAGTGCGCAAACTCAAGTCTCGTGGCGCCAGTAGTATGATGTTTAAATGCTTCAGACAGACTTTGCTGTGCTAAAGCAAGTTTTGAAACACGGTTTCACGTTAGCTGTGGTGTAAAATAAGCAATGTGACTTAAAAAACTAGACGCGTGAGCAGTGGACTGACAACAACACGCAGCGGAGCAGGTAACGTTAACGCTAAGTTACACACCCGGCTGTTGAGGCGATAGCGTAATGCACATATTTGAGATTTTCAGCGATTATAGACCGGACAAACAGACTGTTGGGTTAATAGGTTCTGTAGTATTATTGTCCTCCTAAATAATGCAATAACTGTTTCGAGGTAGCAAATGTCAGTTCACTACTGTAACTCACAACCGTATCGATAGCAGTTAACGTTAGACATTTGCAGACCTAAAGGAACGGTTCGCCCTAAAATGAACACGTTGTTATAAACCTTAAACACTATTTTTTTTTATGGAAAACACTGGCTTTTAAGCAGAATGACAACCTTGGCCACCATTCACTTTCGTTGGGTCTTTTTGATGGCAGTGAATGGTGACTGATGCCTCTTAACACGGTAAAGAATATTGCACCAAATCTTTACTTCATGATGAGATTAAAATAGTTTTAAAGTAACTGACTTGAAGTTTTGCAGTGTTACTGGCAAAACGGTTGTTTGCTTGAGTATGTAGACGACTGTCAGTGTGATTGTATTTGTAGTTGGTATTTAAAGTCACTACATTTTGGCAATCAATTATAAATGAATGAAATCACTTACTGGCTAGCTAAGCAAAAAGCAAATGTGACTGGCATCTTTTGGTTGTGTTTATCCTACTGTTGTAAACTCTTAATGCGTTCATCCTCTTGTTCAGGACGTGGTGGGTCATCGGGAGCCAAGTTCCGTATTTCACTGGGTCTCCCAGTGGGAGCGGTCATCAACTGCGCTGACAACACAGGTATGAGATCTGCCAGTATTTGTGCTTGTTATCCTTCTTAAAGCACTTGCTTTGTCTGCTCTGTGGCTGGGTGAGTCGTCAGTGAAGGAATAGTAAATCCCATTGCTGTTGGGTGAGATGGCAGTCGCCTTGTGCTGTTAAATCTCAATCCGTGATGGAACAAATGTTAGCTTGTTTGTAATGACCCAGCTGAGGGTTAGCATAAAAAATATTCTAGAATATACTAATGAGTTGGTGTTTGCTCCAGTTATTGACCTCCACTGATCTGTGGCTTTTCTCTCGCTTAGGTGCCAAGAATCTGTACATCATATCCGTCAAAGGCATCAAGGGTCGTCTGAACAGGCTCCCCGCCGCTGGTGTGGGTGACATGGTCATGGCCACAGTGAAGAAAGGCAAGCCAGAGCTCAGGAAAAAGGGTGAGTGTTTGCTGCTGAACCTGAATTATCACATTTCTGGAGCCTAAGCTTTTTTCTTGAGTTTGAATGCAAATAACAGGCTTTGGCATAGAGATGTTTGAGTGTTGCTGATTTGAATTAAAGGTCGAGTATGTATGCTTAAACAACTTTACCCTTTTAATCTAGTGCATCCTGCGGTGGTGATACGACAGCGGAAGTCGTATCGGCGAAAAGATGGCGTGTTTCTATACTTTGAAGACAATGCAGGGGTCATAGTGAATAACAAAGGAGAAATGAAAGGTGAGTTATGAATATAAGATCTTGTTTTGTACCCTTCTTAAAGCACTTGCTTTGTCTGCTCTGTGGCTGGGTGAGTCGTCAGTGAAGGAATAGTAAATCCCATTGCTGTTGGGTGAGATGGCAGTCACCATGTGCTGTTAAATCTCAATCCGTGATGGAACATTTTCTACTTGAGACCTGTCATTTTAACTTGATGTTTTGGATTTTGCTCCGGTGCAGTGCTAAATTGTTTTTGTCTTGTAGGCTCAGCTATCACAGGACCCGTAGCCAAGGAATGCGCAGACCTGTGGCCCAGGATTGCTTCCAATGCTGGTAGCATCGCCTGAGCGCAAATGTGGCTTGTCGTTTTCAATAAAATCCTCAAAGTTTATACGTCTCACTGTCTGTTGATTCCAGGGAATTTGGTCTTGACACTGTAAAGTTAAAACGGCAATATTTTGAATTTGTTAACATTTTATAATATTGATTATAACCTGTTTATAGATATTTAATGCAAAAAAAAAGGCTCTTACAGACTGAGCATGTTTTTTTGTTTTTTTTTACTTCAGTACACGTGGTAATTACGTTTGCGTGATAAATATTGTCTTGAGTATTGACATTTGACATGAGTATATGAAAACTAAATTTATTCAGTAATGCATTAACTTAAAGAACACAAATGAAATGTTAGTCTTTAACAAACAAAAAAAAGTTAGTTCTTTACAATTAATTTAATATTTAGTCTTAAATAGTTACCATGAAATTAATATTTAATTTTAATAGACTCCCTGGTTTGTTTAAAACCTTGTGTGTACATTTAAGAAATTGAAAGGTAAAAAATTAATACATTTTTAAACCTCATACACTAGATGATTATGCACAAATAAATCCAGAAAATACAAAATGCATTGTTCAATTGTTTTTGAGATGTTACTAAATACAATCCGAGCTGCACGTCTATATGATGAGAATTCAGTCTTTTTAAAGTAGGTCAATTATACTTTTCTACTTTTTTGTGTGTGTTTTGGTAATGTTATACAATGTATCCTGCAAAATATACCGCTCAAAAGTTTGAGATCAGTCAGACTTGTAATGTTTTTTAAAGAAGTCTTCTTGTGCTCTTCAAGGCTGCATTTATATGATCAAAAATACAGAAAAAACAGTAATCTTGCAAAATGTTATTACAGTATAAAATAATGGTTTCTATTTTAATATACTTTAAAATATAATTTATTTCTGTGATGCAAAGCTGAATTTCCATCAGCCGTTACTCCAGTATAAAGTGTCACATGATCCTTCAGAAATCATTCTAATACGCTGATTTATTATCAGTGCTGGAAACTTGTGCTGCTTAATATGTTTATGGAACCTGTGATACTTTTTTCAGGATTCTTTGATGAATAAAAAGTTAAAAAGAAGAGCATTTATTTAAATTAGAAATATTTTCTAACAATGTACACTACAGTTCAAAAGTTTGGGGTCAGTAAATTTTTATTCTTTCTTTTTTTTTAAAGAAATTAAAACTTTTATTCAGCAAGGATGTGTTACATTGACAGGAAGTGATCGCAAAGATTTATATTGTTAGAAAATATTTATATTTTGAATAAATGCTCTTCTTTTTAACTTTTTATTCATCAAAGAATCCTGAAAAAGTATTGCAGTTTACAAAAAAATATATTTGAAAGCACAACTGTTGGCAACATTGATAATAATAATAATAAATCAGCATATTAGAATGATTTCTTAAGGATCATGTGACACTGAAGACTGGAGTAATTGCTGATGGAAATTCAGCTTTGCATCACAGAAATAAATTATATTTTAAAGTATATTCAAATAGAAACCATTATTTTATATTGTAATAACATTTTGTAAGATTACTGTTTTTTTTCTGTATTTTTGAACAAATAAATGCAGCCTTGAGTCTTACTGATCCCAAACTTTTGAGCGGTAGTGTATATACATATGTTTTAATAAGCTTCGCTGATCTTAAAATCTAATTTTCCTGCTAGCTCCAAAGCGTGAATACGATGCGTGGTTGTTATGGAGACCAGTTTGTTATGGAGGCTTGAGCTAGCAAGTTAACCTTAGCTGTACTCGTATTCAGTTGCTGAATTTCTGTCTTTTGAGGTAAATAACATTATCAGTTCTCGTAAAAGTAAATTGGGTGTCTTTTCACGTAACAGTAAGAGCAGGTATGGAGAAATCTGATATGATAAATTTCAGTTCTCTTGAAAAAGAGCTACAAGCGGCGCTGGAAGCGGACAGGAAATATCAGAGGGAAAACAATGCCAAATTTCGTGCTTTAAACCAAAATGTCGCCAGCTATGAAGAATTCAGGTACGTTTTTGATTTATTGTACTGAATAATTTACATTTAATAGCTGTAAAACCTAGCTCTCCTGCCCAAGGGTGTAACTGGTTTGAGAAGTGGGGGGGGGGGGACACAAAATGAGGTTATTCGTTAAAGTCATTCGTTCATTCAGTAACGAAGCAAGTGGCTGTATTTATGAATGAATCATTGATTCAATGATTTTAACGAACGATTCGTTCACGTAACAACGCAAAGCTCGGAGCTCTCTCCCTGGACAGCACGCCAAATACGCATAACCTTTATTTAATTATATGTAAGTGTGAACTCGTGAAATAAAATTATAATGAAACAAAATATAAACATTCAAAATATTAATAAAAACTATTTTTGTATCTCAGTGATACTAAAATAACACCGGCGTCTCCATTTTATATGTTATGATTTCAGGGACATAGTACTTGCATCTCACTTAAAGCCCCTTGACAGAAAGGACATCTCTGGTGCACCTCGAAAGCAGCCATGGAATCCCATTGCTTTTGGCACAAAGCATGAAAGTGCTTTATCTGAGGAGGTCCAGGTGAGACATTTTATGATACAAATCACCTATATGTTGTCCCAGTGCTAGGTCTCACAATACATCATCTCACCTGAGAATGAAGTGTATAACTAACTAAATTCTGAATTTACTTTCAGCCGAAGTTATCTGAGAACCAGCCAAGAAGTGCATCAGAATTCATCCGTGACTGGCGCAGGTTTGCAGGAAGCTCATTGGAAAAGTACAGTCTCCTCGTGGGTCTGGGAGGCAAGGCTCTGCAGGAAATCTTCAGAACTGAGGTTGGCCTTGGTCTTCTCGGCGAGTTGCTTTTGATTCTGTCACAGTGTCTTAAGTCAGGGGATGAGGAAATAGTGATCGGAGTGCTAGACGGCCTTTCCAGAACTGGCCGTTTTGGCCTTAACCTGTCTCTTCTTAATCAGGCAGAACAAAAAGCCTGTGAGGAGCTTTTCCACAAGCTACAAATTGCAGCAGGTGATTCTTCTGACACTTCAGTGGCTTGTGAGGCCAGTCTTACAGCAAAACTGAAAGCGTTAATGGGAAAATATGGCGTCCAGAAATAGGTTGTATTGAAATTCCATTGTTTTTTTTTCCATTGTACCTTAAACAGTTTTTACTGTATTTTTATTTATTTTTTTTTTTTCGTTTTTTTGTGCTGGCAGAAATATGCTAAGAGAAGTGCTGGCCATTTGTTTTTGGGCCATTTGCCCATTGTTACTTTTAGCCTATGAGGCTCCCGAAGATAAGGAGGACATCTTTGCCAGCAGGGCCTGTCCTGCATTTCTTGTCTTTGACTCTGCTGCCTTCCTAGCTGATATGACCATTGAACTTCCTTGTCACTGTAAACCAGAGGAGACTCATTCAGTGGTATGGTACTATCAAAAACAAGTTGGCTCCATGAACACCAAAGTCCTCACAGACTTTGAGGGCACTACGGTGGTGGAATCATCCAAAGTTGGCAGAGGGTCCGATCTGCGTAGTCGCTTTTCCATCCGTTTGTTTAGTCTTCTCATCTTCAGGGTGCAGAAAGCTGACTCGGGGCACTATATCTGTGGCACGGCCTCTGGTGAATTCTTCTACGGCTACGATGTTGATGTCCAGGAGGTCCGTCAAGTTTTATTTCCCTGGAACGTCAAACAGAGGACTCAAGTACAAGAAGCAGAGCCCATCAGCATAAAAACGGAAAAGTTTCAGGTGTTCACCAGGTACGGGCCGTGGTCTAAATGTGACCGCTGTGACGTCCGTGGGGAGCAGATGCGTGGAGGACTTTGTTACATCAAAAGCATTTACCTCCATGTACGTTATCAGCGTGAATCGGACACAGAGGCTCCCTGTGGTTCCTCAGCCGTTCCCCAACAGTTTGGCCTTTCTGGTAGTAACTACGGAGCCAAGCTTGAGGTGAGGAACTGTCACACCCCCTGTCCTCCAAAACCTTCGACATCTCCAGAGAGACAAGCTCTGCTGCAGTTCCTTGAGTTTGACGATCGATCTTCTTCAGGTGTCACCATCCACTTTCACAACCACCCCACAGACTCTGATCTGGTCTTGACCTGTCCTGGTGCCAAACCGCAGTACGCTGTGGCCTGGGATAAAGGTTCAGCACCGCTTTACCGTTCTCAGTATATGGAGGGACTGAATAAGACGTCACGTGTCTTCATTGACACCGGTCACCACCTACACTTCAGACCCGTGCGGCTGGAAGACAAAGGCTCCTATTTCTGCTGGCTCCAAGGAGAGCTGGCTGCAGAGATCAGATTGGGGGTGTATCTGCACTTGGGACGTTTGCGTCAAATCTCGGACCCAGAGTCTGTCTATGCGCTACAAGTTATTCTTGCTTGCTACGCTGGCATTTCTGCTATGTTTCTCCTCACTGTGATAGTCAGATTTATTTGGCAGATAAGCAAGGAAGAAACATCTGCAGATATTAATTTGAATTTGCTGTAGTTACACTGATGCACATTTAATGTGAAGTGCAAGGTGAAATGTAATAAATATGCTGCTTAATGAATTTTCTGAATTGGAATGTTTTTGTTTTTTAACAAAATGAGAGTGACAATGGTAATAAATTACTATGTATTTTTCTTTTATTGTGAAAACATTTAAATAATCATCATTAAATACAGAATTGTAGAAAAAAAGAGAGAAACATTACATATTGTACAGTGAGGGTTCAAACGTAATTTTACGTTCTATTTTGTTTTTTTTTCTAATTGATTATGTTTTT